GCGAGCTCTGAAACTAACACTTTCCTTGATAATTTCTTTTTCTAATCTAACCTTCTGAAGGGCGGACCTTAGATTCTCTAAGCTTTTAGGAACTAACAGTTTCCGCCCGTCTAGTACAGAGAAAAGAAAGAGAGTAAAAGGTGACTGACCGCCGTCAGTCACTGTGACAGCTAGATTCTCTCTGGGGAATCAAAAGCTGAAAACTGTGTCAGGTTTGGCCCCTTCATCGCCAACGGGGAAACCTCACAGTGTGGAAAACCACGCCTGGTTTATCCACCTTCAGAAACTCTCCAGACGGAAGTTTTATTTAAAACCTGGGTTCCAGTCGAGGCCTTGTCTTCTGGTTTCGGCTGACGTGGACGCTAAACGAGTCAAAGAGCACGCCTTGGGGTCCCCTGTTCGACGGTCTAAAGACAGATTCTCCAGCAGCGCCCCCACCTACCTGGCAGGTAAAAGCTGCTTAAGGTAAAAGCTGGCTGTGTGTGACGTCGAGGTCTGACCAAAGCTGAGCACAGAACGCTTCACCCTTCTGGTTAAAACCCACGTTATTTAAGATAAAGTATAGGAAAGCTAACATCTTTCTTCAACCTTTTTCTTAACCTTGTCCTTGCCAACTCCTAAGATAAACAGCCTCAAATGTCTGGTGTTTCACATCTAATCTGACGTTTGTTTTTCTATTTAAGTGTGGTTAACAATTAAGAAGTTAAAAGCTTGTTATTGTTGGTCCCAAAACTTTATAGGAAATTAATTGTTCACAATCAGGTGTACTCTATAGTCAAATTTGTATGATTTGTAAAATAAATGATCGCATACTATAGTTCAAATCAACATTCACTGACTGAGAGTTACTTTTTGTGTCCATTCATTTTTGCACTAAAGAAATGTTTATCCAAAATAAAAGAGATCCTTGCTAATTAAATTACTCTTGTAACCTTGTCATAAGAAGTGTAAGAATAAACCCTTACAGCATCTATTTATTAAACCCAATATAAGTTGCAATCACATAAAATCTAACAAGACTCCCTTTTGTGGTGCATCATGTCAGTGAAACTCACCGATCTCATCAATGAAGATGATACAAGGTTGAATTTTGACAGCTAAAGAGAAGACGGCAGCAGTCAGTTTCTGGGATTCACCGTACCACATGTCTGTTAGTGTGGAGGCTTGGAGGTTGATGAACTTGCATCCCGAGGCTTTAGCTGTTGCCTTGGCGATCATAGTCTTCCCACATCCTGGAGGACCAAACAACAAAACACCTGTAGAGACAAAGGATGACATTAGGATCAACGCTTTTCTGCTCATATTGACTGTTACTTGTGTAGGATCATCTTCTACAATGAAAAGGGAGAAAATCTAACCCAGTTTAAATGATCAAACAAAAGAACTAGCTGATTGAAACAATATCTTCTTACGTCTACTAACTGAACTGGTTTTTCTAAGCAACTAATTTCAGAGGATGACTCATCCAGAGGCTAAAGTCATGTGAGAAAACAGTAAAAACTATTTACAGACAGTCAAACATGCTTTTGATCCTCTGCTGTCACTCTGTCCAGTGGGTAAATCTTCTCAAATGTTTCTGCAATGATGACCAACGGCTGTGAAAGCCTGATTTGTGTGATGTTTAGGAAGTAAAACGCTGCTGTTATGTGCTGGAAAACAGAGTAAATCAGAAAATTAAGTTTTTATTAATTCCCCTCTTGAACTTATTTTTAGGCTCAAAACATTGAAATAAAACTTACAGGAAGATACTAGAATCTATACTGAATCTAAAGAGAACAAGCTGCTCTTATTTGACAGTAGGGATGGGCGATATGGACTAAAAAAATTTCACAATAATTTCGAGATTTTATCACGGTAACAATAAGTGACAATAATATATA